GGGAAAATCATAGCTTTGACCATATGCACCTTTGTCGGCAAAGCGATGTCTGCTCTATAATACGCTGTCTAGGTTTGTCATAGCTTTCCTTCCAAGGAGCAAGTATCTTTTAATTTCATGGCTATAGTCACCAGCTGCAGTGATTTCGGAGCCCAAGAAAATAAAATTTGTCAAGCTTCTACTTTTTCCCCTTCTACTCACCAGGAAGTAATGGAACCGGATGCCATGGTCTTAGTATTTTGAATGTTGAGTTTTATGCCAGTTTTTTTACTCTCGCCTTTCACCCTCATCAAGAAGCTCTTGAATTCCTCTTCACTTTCTGCCATTAGAGTGGTACCATATCTGAGGTTATTGATATTTCTCCTGGCAATCTTGATTCCAGCCTGTGCTTTATCCAGTCGGCATTTTACATGATGTACTCTGAATGTAAGTTAAATAAACAGGGTGACAATATACAGCCTGGTCATACTCCTTTCCCAATTTTGAACCAGTCAATTGTTCCATGTAAGGTTCTAACTGTTGCTTCTTGATCCAAATACAAGTTTATCAGGAGACAAGTAAGGTGGCCTGGTATTTCCATCTCTTGAAGAATTTTCCACAGTTTGTTGTGATCCATACAGTTACCACATGACCCAGCAATTCCACTGTTAGGTATATTCCCAAGATAAATGGAAAACATATGTCTACATGAAAGTTTGTACACAAATGTCCATAGAAGCATTATTCATAATAGCCAGAAAGTAGAAACAAGCCAATTCCATCAACTGATGAATAAATAAATGGTGGTATAGCCATGCAATAGACTATTATTCAGCCATAAAAAGGAATGAAATGCTGATATATCCTATAGTATTGGCAGCCTGGAAAATATTATGCTAAGTAAAAGAAACCAGACACAAAAGGTCACAAATGTATAATTTCATTTGCATGAAGTGTCCAGATCAGGCAAATCTGTAGCAATAGAAAGCAGATGAGCGGTTACTAGGGGATGGGAGCATGGTTACCAGGGAATTGGGAGCCATTACTCAATGGGCTTCCTGGGTGGTTTAGCAGGAAAGAGTCCACTTCCCAACGCAGGTAGACATGCAGGTAGACGCAGGAGATGTGGGTTTGATCCCTGGGTCAGGAAGATCCCCTGGAGGAGGAAGTAGCAACCCACTCCAGTGTTCTTGCCTGGGAAATCCCATGGACAGAGGAGGCTGATGGGCTACAGTCCACGGGGTCGAAAAGAGTCAGACACGACAGAGTACTGGCGCTTAATGGACACGGAGTGTTTTAAATCTGGAACGATTTAAAAAGTTTTGAAAAAAAATAAAAAGTTTTGAAACTAGAGAGAAGTGGTGGTTGCACAATCTCATGCAGGCACAAAATCCCACTCAAGTGTATGCTTTAAAATGGATAATTGTATGTTATGTGAATTTCACCTCAATTTAAAAAAGTAAACTTCAACGTAAAAAGTGAACGGAAACTGGAAAACATAAACATCACCTCAGTGCCCTGGGGGCACTGACAGAACCTTCTGGGTGCGGAACAGCCTCATACACTACCTCCTTTTGTCTCACTGCAGCCCCAGGAGGTGGGGACTGTCTGGGGCTCAGAGAGGGAAATTGATAGAGCCAGGCTCACACAGTTGCCAAAGGACGAGGCCTGGGTCTCTTAGACCTCCCAGCCCCCAGACTCCTGAAATCACTGTGGCCCCCTGGAATTCTCGCCAGGCCTCCCTGGGTGGGAGCTAGTGAGGTCAAGGGCCAGGAACGTTACTGCAGCCACGAGGCGGGAGTTAGTGACTGAGAAGCTTGGAATGTGCAGCCTCTGAAAAGACCTCCTTGTGGCTCCACCGACGGTTAGGGCAGGAAGGGACTTTGAGAGCCATGTAATCACACACACACACACACACACACACACACACACACACACACACTTGAGACCTGAGCCCCTGCTCAATCACTGTCCCAGTCTGTGTTTCTGGAGCTGGCAGACAAATGCAGTCAAGGCTGACCTGTTAGGCTTCCCATGTGCCACCACCTGTCTGCCTCTTCACTCTGACCTGTCCTGCTTAGGTTCAGCTAAGAATTTCGGATATCAGTGTGTGTGCGTACACACAAGTACCTTAGCATGTGATCAGAACCCCCAAAGCTTCCACCCGTGGGGCTTTTTCTTAACGTGCATGTTTTGTTGCTATTTGTCAAATTCTTACTATATGCTGTACGCAGCATGAAACATTATTTGATATCTATTCTCTAACAATCCTGAGATGTTTATCATTTTGTAGTCATCAGATGTCCTCATTTCACAGATGAGGCTCTGAGAGATTGTGTGCCTCACCAAGGTCATACAGCTGGCAAGCAGCCTAAGAAGAATTCAAATTCAGAACCCAGGTGTATGATTCCAGCACATATGTTCTTTTCCATGAGTCACACTGCCTCTCCCCCCCACTTATGCACACATGTGTGCACATACGTGTGCATGCACACTCACACACACATACACACACCCATGTATTTCTCATTCTGGCAAACTGCTGGTGGTTTCTTTTCTTTTTAGACAATGACAAGCAGAGTAGAATAAGGAAAAGGGAGAGGCACCAGATGGGTAACCACCTTCTGAGTGCGCCTCACTTTACAGCTTACAAAGCACTTTCACATTTGTGATCTCATTTGATCCTACAGCCGCCCCATGAGGTCAGCAGGCGGCTCAATTATTCCCACTGGGAGCAAGACTCAGAAGGAAGGTGACCTGCCCAGGGTAACAGAGACAGAAAATAGTAACTCTGGGACTGGAAGCCCAGGGCCAAGCTGGCCTCTTGGTTCTAAGTCCTGAATACATCCACCAACTGTGGCCTCTGTCCCTGAGGAAGGTAGTCCAGGACCCCATCTTCCTGAAATTTCCCTTCTGTGAGGACAAAACTGGAGCCAATCAAAAGGAGGTACCAGTGGAAAGCAGAATAGCCCAGCTCTCTCTCTGTGTAGTTGTGTGACTCAGGCAGCTCCTTACTCTGTTCAGGCCTCAGTTTCCCCATCTGCAAAATGGGGCTGATAAAGGGACCTTCCTCCCAGAGTTGTTGGTTTTTGGTTGTTGACACTTGGTCCTGGCCTCACATTCACACAAACCTTTGACATAATCTCCAAACAAGGCTGATGACAACACAGTCCTGGAAGAGCCGTTACAGTATTTAAGGAAGATGGCGTTTATCAGAACACAGAACTGTGTCCAATTGGCTCAGTTGACAGGATCTCACTACCGGTAGGGGCTCTGAATTAAACCTTGCTACAGTTCCTAAAATTATCCTGTGAGTAAGGCGATTGTATTGCTTTGTATCTGTGGGTAGTTCAAAGTATTAACATGTCCTTGTAATTATTTAAAATACACACCATTTTTGTAACTCTGGTTTGTCATTTGTTCACTTTTTCGTATACCTGAACCTTAAAACAGCGCCAGTGAAGGGGACTCCTGTCACGACTTGGATGGCAGTAGCATGGTTCCGGGCATGAATAAGCACCCAGTAGGTGATGATGATCGTAATACTAGCAACATCAATCACATTTATAATCCGATGTACAGTTTCCAGACTTCTTTCATATTCTTCATTCCAACTTCCCACGCGTGGCAAGGTCGCTCTGTGATTATTTTGTCCCATTTTACAATGCAAACACTAGGCTAGACCAAGCGGTGGGGCTGCGGGGGGAACCTGGATAGCAAATGAGCGTCGGGGCGGTCTTGTGCAGCCTTCGAGGCGGGGCGGGGCGAGGCGGGGCGGGGCGCCCGGCTGCTCGCAGGTGCGTAGGTCCGCGGGGGAATCCTTCGCTCCACCTGGGCGCGGCGAGGAAATCGCACCATGTTTGGGCAGCTACGTCAGAGGGGGCGGGCCCGCGGCTGTTCCTGGGAGCCGCCAGATCCGCCCCTTTTCCCCACCGAGAGTCAGTCGGCTACTGGACTGTGGGAGGCGATCGAAAAGTTCAGGGCGGATTGATAAAAGGCGGCGCGTCTGGAGAGGTGGAGCCTGGAGGTGACCAGAGCCGCGGCGAAACGCCCGCCCTCCCCCGCCCACCCCCCCCAGTAGAAGTGGTTCAGCCCGAGGACTTTTCATTCATAAAAAGAAAAGACTCCGCAAGGAGCGAGTGAGTCAGAACCGAAGCCGCCGACGCGGACCCCACAGAGCCGCCAACCCAGGGCATGTTCCGAGACTACGGGGAACCCGGACCGAGCTCCGGCGCCGGCGGTGCGTACGGCGGCCCGACGCAGCCCCCGGCCACAGGCCAGCAGGTGAGAGGAACCCGACACCTGGAGTCCACAGGTGGACAGCGCCGAGGAGAGCGCGGGCCGCTCCGGCACACTCGGGGACTGGGACCGGGAACCGGGAGAGGGACCAGGTCTCGGGGCCGTGGCAGCGGGTTCTGCCCACTCTCCGCTGTCCAAAGGCGCTTTCTGCCCCACAGCCCCGCAGAGCGCGCACGGCGGGAGGAACACATCTCTGCGAGCATCGGCCCCAGCGCACGTCCCCTCCCCCTTTGTCCGTTGTCTCTCTGTCCCTCCGTCTCTGTTACCTCCTCTCCTTCCTCCTGTTCACCGTTAATTTCTTTGTCCCATCTGCTTCGGAAGGGGACCCCCTTGGTCCGGGATTAGTCCCAGCCCCGACCGGATCAGAGAGGGTCCGATCCATCTCGGACGACATTTCCGAGGTCCGGAGTCTGAGCCGCGGCCGAGAGGTCCCCACACACTGGCTCCCCCAGCCGGCTTGCCCGGACAGACTGGGAATCCTGAGCAGTCTGTCTGTGGTCGTCCGTGTGCCTGCCTGTTTGTTTGTCCCTCTCCACCCCATCGCCAAGTTCTCATCCCCGTCCAGCCGCAGTGGAGCTGGTGGGCTCCGGGAGACTGGCTCTTGACCCCTTTACGGGTTGGGGCGGGTGGAGACCGCGAGGTGCCAGGACGTGCGCGGGGTCATGCAACCGGCAACTCCCGCGCCCCCGACATCGAACGGCGCCCGCTGCCGGTTGGGGGGACCCGGGAGGCTGCAGGTGCCCATTTCCTGTCGAGGGGCGATGAGCACGTGTCGCTAGGGGTGGAAAGGAGCGGCGTCCGTTCCGCCGAGTCACGGCGGCCGAGTCACGGTGGGTGACTCACCCCGGGCGCCCCTCCCTTCCTGGCCCGGAGCGGCCCGGGCCCTGACAACGTCGGGAGCGGGAGATGCCGCCGGCGGTACGTAGGCCGGGAACTAGGGTCATTGGGCCACTGGGCCCGCAGCGCTGAGCCGGGGCTAGACTTGCCTGGGCTTGAGGGAGCTTCCCGGACGGCTGGGCGCCCACACCCAGGGCCCAGCCCCAGGGCTTGAACTCAGTTCTCCTCCGGAACACTGAGTCCCTATCTCAACCCATTCCTCACATTTCTGGCTGAAAGAATCGTGGCAGCGCATATTGTGCAGTCTTGCATTGTGTTGGGCACTTTCCACCTCATTTTTTACCTTGTCTCACAGAACCTAAGACCCCATTGATTTTAAAACCCGTTATTTTGTGCCACTATTTTTTTTTAATTTGTCAATTAAACTGTGACCTCAGAGCTACTGAAGGGTACTTCTTGGCATCAGGGAAATGATCTTAACCTATGACAATATTAAAAACAAGGAAATGGAGGCATATTGAGGATAAATAATTTACCCTGACAGCCAGTAGATGGCTGAGCTAAGATCAGAACTGAGCTAGCTTGAACCCAGAGCAGTGGCTCTTGCCTACCATGGCCCCTGTATGTTGGGTACCTGCCACTTGCCAGGCTCTGTCGCACACACATTCTCTTACCTGATTCTCATCGTCACCCTTGAAGTTGTGCTAAGTTGCTCAGTTGTGTCTGACTTTTTGCAACCCCACGGGCTGTAGCCCGCCAGGCTCCTCTGTCCATGGGATTTCCCAGACAAGAATGCTGGAGCAGGATGCCGTTTCCTTCCCCAGGGAATCTTCCTGGGGCTGTCGTTATCTTCCTTGTGCAGATGGGACTCAGGCAGGGTGCAGGAGCTGGTAAGACCCTAATCACCTGGGCCCAAACCTCACTTCCCACTTATTGACTGTCTATCTAGGGACAACCGTTTTCCTGTCTGAAAATGAAGATTTGTTGTTGTTTAGTCACTAAGTCGTGTCCGACTCTTTGCAACCCCATGGACTGCAGCCCACCAGACTCCTCTGTCCATGGGATTCTCCAGTCAAGAATACTGGAGTGGGTTACCATTTTCTCCACTAAGTGATATCTTCCTGACCCAGGGATCAAACCTGCATCTCCTGCATTGGCATCAGAAATATAGTCAGACTCTTTATCGCTGAGTCACCAGGGAAGCCCTTAAAATGAAGATACTGTTGTGCAAATTATAAGGAGTCAGTATTTTTAAAGTGTCTGGGACAGCACCTGGAATTCACACTTTATTACTGGAAGCCCCTCAATCCACACAGACCTTATCCTTGGCCCTCCATGTCTTATCCCTCAGAAGTTCCACCTCGTGCCAAGCATCAACACTGTGAGTGGCAACCAGGAGCTGCAGTGGATGGTTCAGCCTCACTTCCTGGGACCCAGCAGCTACCCCAGGCCTCTGGCCTATCCCCCATACAGTCCCCCACAGCCCCGGCCAGGAGTCATCCGGGCCCTGGGCCCAACTCCAGGGGTGCGTCGCCGGGCCTGTGAACAGGTAAGAAGCAGAGGTGCTCACAAAGGTTCTTGAGTCCACAGGGGTGCTGAGGTGCAGAGAATAAACTCTTGTCCAGAAGCAGAACACAGGCTGAGAAGGGGTGTGGGGAGAACAGGCTCGCTGGTTACTATTGGCCAAGACAGAAAGTGATGAGAGCCCCTGGGGAGACCCAGAGGGCAATGCAGTCACTTCTGGATCAGGGAAGACTTCCTGGAGGTGGAGGCATATTAGCCTAGAAGGATGGGTAGGATTTGCATAGGGAGAAAGATGATGGAAAGACATTCCAGGTAGAGGGGATGGCAGGAGCAGGAATGGAGGCAGAGGTGAGAACATGTAAGGTGCGTATGTGGAAAGCTGTGTGGGCAGTAGCAGGGCTCCACCTGATGACAGGTGTGGAGAGGGTGGGCTTAGGTTGGCTGTGTTGCCGAGGTGAAAACAGAAAGGGTTTCCTTCAGCTACTCTGAGTCTCAATTTCTCTAACTCATTTAATCCTCACAAAAACCCTCTTGGGAATGAACTCTGGCTTTCCCCCATTTTACAGCTAAGGAGATGAAGGCACAGAGAGATAGTCACTTGCCCAAGGTCACACAAGGAGTGAGTAATGAGACAGGACTGTCCAATTCTAAAGTCAGATCATACCCACCAAGCCACAGTGTCTCACCAGGAGGTAAGAGGAGGCTTGAAGTTGAAAGAGCTGGGAACACTTGCCTTCCAAACCAGGGTTTTTGGCTGCTCACTGCTAGTAATAAAGTCCTTGCCCAAATAAATGATTAAGAGCTGGAGGGTCTTTAAGGGACTGGTTCCTCTTTGCTCTCCCTGGGGCATTTCAGTATCTGAGACTGTAGTGGGTGAGGGCTGCCTCTTAATGAGTTTGCTCTGACAGCAGGGTAGAGGATGGAAAGGACAGTTAGAATCCTGAGAAATGTGCGATTAGTCAGGGGTGGCTTTTCCAGAAAAAGAATGGCTGGCTTTTGTGACCAGATGGAAGGAGACCATGGTGTAAGCCCCAGAGGCAGGCTCCTGGACTTCCTTCAGCCACGTTTCTTTGATCCTGGGTACTCCTAGACGGGCTATGAATGGGCTCCTTTTTGGGAGAGGTGGTGTCCATCAGCTGGGCCCTTTCTCAGTGTTAAATAGACTGCATTAATTTTTTTTAAGATTTACTTATTTTTTGGCTGTGGTGGGTCTTTGTTGCTGCTCTCAAGCTTTCTCTAGCTGCAGCAAGCAGGGGCTACTCTTCTTTGTGGTGTGCAGGTTTCTCATTGTGTTGGCTTCTCTTGTTTCGGAGCACAGACTCTAGAGCTCTGGCTCAGTAGCTGTGGTACACAGGCTTAGTCGCTCTGCAGCATGTGGGATCTTCCTGGACCAGGGGTCAAACCAGTGTCCCCGGCACTGCAAAGCAGATTCTTAACCACATGGATTTTCATTTCTGCTCTGGAACCACAAACAAGTTATTCATCTTCCCTGGCCTTTGGCTCCTTACAAGAGAAGCTGGGTTAAGGATCCATATAAAGCACTTAGCTGGCACACAGTAGGTTCCCAATAAATAACTACATAGAAGCTCTCATTAGCCCCTCTTAGTGCTTACAGCCCCTGGGGAAGAGGAGGTTTGGTTATCAAGTGACTGAAAAGAAGAGGTTCCTTTGAAAAAGAGTGGCTGCAACGGCCACTTACAGCTGTGGAATGAAAGAAGACTTCCAGGAAGGGTCGTGGTGGCCTGAGGGATCTCAGTGGAGTCCTGGGAGAGGGGGTTAGGATTTATAGAGGGACAAGGAGGACATTCCCAGAGGAATCATAGGAAGCAAAAGCTGGGAGCGAGGAGGAAATTTGACTAATCCAAGCTTACTAAATGCGGAACGGGTCAGGGTGGGGAGGTCCCCAGAGTGCAGTGTGAGGGCGCCCCTGTGCTGCCATGCCCTGTGCCAGGGTCCTACCACTGGCCAGCAGCACAGAGTCCACCTGACTGCTCTCTGTAACCCTCCTTCCCCCAGATCAGCCCCGAGGAGGAGGAACGCCGTCGAGTGAGGCGGGAGAGGAACAAGCTAGCTGCGGCCAAGTGCAGGAACCGGAGGAAAGAACTGACCGACTTCCTGCAGGCGGTGAGCACCAGCGAGTGCAGAGGGTGCCCTGGTCCCGGCCCACCCAACCTCAGAGAGCCCCCAGTTCCCAAGGGCCGCAGGGGGCGCCATTAGATACATCCCCTCCCCCAAGCTCCCCGTTGGAGCGGCACTGCGACAAGGAAAAAGTGGTTAAAAATTAGTTGCAGCGTGTCTCGCTCTGAACATAGCAGAGCTGAAGCAGGCCCGACAATATCTTTCAAAGGTGCCCCCGAGCCTGATGGGAATCGTGCCCATATTCTCCTATGGGCTCATGGGAGTTGTAGTCCATACTTGAGGGAGACTCTCCAGCCTCCCCTCCCCCGCGCCCCAACCTGCCAATCACTACCACCGGGGGAGGCTCTGCGACATTCAGCCCTCTTCTTCTTGACTCCTTTCCTTATCGTCCACAGGAGACCGACAAACTGGAGGATGAGAAATCTGGACTGCAGCGAGAGATTGAGGAGCTGCAGAAGCAGAAGGAGCGCCTGGAGCTGGTGCTCGAAGCCCACCGCCCCATCTGCAAAATCCCGGAAGGGGCCAAGGAGAGCGAAACCAGCGGCACAGGCGGTGCCAGCGGCAGCAGCAGCCCGCCAGGCCCCTCCCGCCCTGTGCCATGTATCTCCCTTTCCCCAGGGCCTATACTTGAACCCGAAGCATTGCACACTCCCACGCTCATGACCACACCCTCCCTGACTCCTTTCACCCCCAGTCTGGTCTTCACCTACCCCAGCACGCCAGAGCCCTGTGCCTCAGCTCATCGCAAGAGTAGCAGCAGCAGTGGGGACCCCTCTTCTGATCCCCTGGGCTCCCCAACCCTCCTGGCCTTATGAGGCACTCCAGCTCCTGCTCCCCATGGGTGCCACCCTAACCAGTATTTCCCTGCTCATTGGTCCAGCTGGTCTGGATCATATCCCATGTCCAACTCCAGCAGATTCTTCTGCATCCCTCCAGACGAGACTGAGCATATTTTGCTTCCTAGTAGAGCCAAAGCTGCCCACTGGTTCTCCAGAGCTGGCCTCTCTAGCACAATTTGCACTAAATCAGAGACAAAATAGTTCCCACTTGGAGGGAATTCCGGGCAGCTCCCAAGGGACTTTGTAGATTCTCAGAGGTCCTCTGGAGCCCTAATCCCCTGCAGGTCACCCCTATGGTCTTCATCGCCTCTTCCTGTGATCCACCCAACCCTACCCCTGACAGAAGATGATACTCTACCAGCCTAGAACACTAACTCACCCAGCCGCCCTGCGAGCAGCACCAGGTTACTGAACCAGGACACTCTGCCAGCGCCTCCTAAAAGGAACGGCTCAGGAGAGTGCCAGAGCTGACCTGCAGCCCCCAGCTCTGAGAAGACTTTAGCTCCAAGCCTCCACAGCGTGGGCAGCTGCTATTTATTTTCCTAAAGAGAGTATTTTTATACAAACCTGCCAAAATGGAATAAAAGGCTTGAAGCTCTAGTCTGCTCTCATTGGACCCAGAGGCTAAAGGGAACCATTTGGAACCACAAGCCTCAGGCTCCCATTTCAGCTCCACCAACTCACTACCTGAACTTAGACAAACTGATATTTCTGGACCTCGATTTTCTTATCTGACAAATGAGGCTACATCGGTTCTGCCTCATCTCCAGGACTGAGAAGAGGAAGAGAAGTGCTGTGAGGTGCCAAGCCAAGAGGATTATCCTCCTCCCGGTGGGGGACCCACAGTGCTCCCGCGTGTGCCACCGGAGGGCGCTGTTAGGCCCCTTCCAGCCTCTCGGGAGGCGGCTGAGTGGGTTTTAGGCCCCCAGCACCTGCTTCCTGCTCCATTGTCTTGGACAGGAAGGAGCCGGGAAGGGAGCTGGAGCCACTTCTGGGGCCGGATCACGGCCTGTCCTGGGGCCTGATGGGGGGAGCCAATGGCTCACCACTGTCCCACATCCCGCCCCAGGACTGGAGTAACGGGGGAGTCAGCCACCTTAGTTCTACAGTCCCTCCAGATGGGAATGGTACCCCCAATGGTCCCCGCCCTCGTCCCAACGCCGGCGAGTTCCAAACAGACGCGCCAGAGCCATGGGCTCTGCTTCCGCCTCAGTTTATTAGCCTCCACCCAGCCCCCAGTAAGTCCCTCCACTCCAGCCTCCAGTCCCCCTACTGCCCCGCCAGCGAGAGCCAGGGGCCTTCCTCAGTGTTAGGGTTTCTAAGTCCATTCCATCGGCCCTTCGTGCGCGGCCGGGGCGGCGTCCGGGTCCCCAGATTCACCGCAGTCTCGTCGCTTGAGGAACAATCCGGGCGGGCATCGGCGGGAAGCTGTGCCCTCAGTCATCTGGGGAGCAGGCCAGGGGCAACTGATCGGGGCTGCCCACGCTGCCGGTACTGGAGCTTCCATCGCCCAGGTCACGAGGACCGCAGGGGGGCAAGGCCAGCTCGGGTGCCGGCCCAGCGCCAGAGCCCCCCGAGCCGCCGGAGCCGCCTCGGGGACCCCACTCTTCGCCCAGCGCCAGACAGAGCTCCTTGAGCGCCAGGTTCTCCCGCAGCAGCTCCTCCTGGCGGCCTTCCAGCTCGGCCAGCTTCTGCCAACAACCGCCCAGATCCTCGCGCACTGCTCGGGATGCTTGGGTCCCGAAGAGCTGCCACTGGCGCGCGGCGCGCCGCCCGCGCTGGCGCTCCGAGTCCAGGAAGCAGCAGAGGTCGCGCAGCTCGCGGTTCTCGGCCTGTAGGCGTCGGTTGAGCTGCTTGAGTTCGCGGATCTCGCCCAGGTGACCCTGTAGCTGCCGATTCACCTCCTGCATAAGGCGGCCGCGCTGCACCAGAGCCGCCAGGCGCGCCGCCTCCTCCCGCCGCAGGCGCCGCACCAGCTCCTCCTTGCCCAGAGCCGCCATCTCTTCATCCGTCAGCTCCTCCAGGCCGCCCGTCTCGGCCTCCATGGCTGCCTAAGCCTCTGGAGCATTGCCTGCCCGCTGCCGCGGCCCAGGAGCCCCACGACGAGCTCCTCGCCGCTGGGGCTCAGGAATCCGCTCAGTGAACAAGCTGTGGCGGAGCTAGAGTAGGATGCAGCAGCCGCGCGGGGGTGGGCACGCGGCCGGGCGCGCGCCGGGGCGGGGCTCCAAGACGTCAAGGACGAACAGCCAATCCGGGCTAGCGCCCTCGGAAAGGGGCGGGGTCCAGGCTCCCAGAATGAAGCCCTTCCCCGCCCACTTCGGACCGCGGAGTCCCTTGACGCTCGCTGACTTTGGGTATCCGCGTCCCCGACCTCGGTTCCAGACAGCCTCAAAGTAGGCACTTCGTACCTTCCAATTCCAAACCGCCTCAAGCTCGAGCCCAGGCCTCTCGGCTCCCTCTGAGAACCAAGATTCCAGTGTCGACCCCCGACTCTTCCGCCCACCCTCTGACAAAATCCAGACGGATCGCCTTTCCATCCATCCTAGCTTTGCTCGAACTGTAGAGTCTCGACTCACTGAGCATCGCTTTCAGTCCTTGGAAACCTAAGTCCAAACGTCCTGGCTCACATCATCAGTCTACTCTCCCTCTCACAGACCGTTTCCTGTCCGGTGGGAGGGGCATACAACGGATTTGTTTGTTCAGTAAACTTTTATTGTGTGTAAGAGTTATGCAGAAATAAACTTGAGTCATATCCTTATACTGTCCTTAAAGAGGTCTTGATCTGGCAGAGGCGACAAGCTGCGATGAAGAAGCAAATGGAGGAAGACCACATTTTGAGGGACTGCCCCCACCCACAAAGTGCGTGCTAAGTCGCCTCAGCCGTGTCCGACTCTTTGCGACTCTATGGACTGTAGCCTGGCAGGCTCCTCTGTCCATGGGGATTCTCGAGGCAAGAATACTGGAGTGGGTTACCATGCCCTCCTTCAGGGGAGCCTCCCGACCCAGGAGTGGAACCCACATCTCTTATGTCTCCTGCATTGGCAGGAGGCTTCTACGGCCATCTGGGAAGCTTTCCCCAAAGAGGTGCTACCTGAGGGACCCTGAAAGATGTATAGGACTTTGGTGAGTAATGAGAGAGCTATTTGAGGAAGAGAGAATAGCACAATGAAAGTCTGGGGACTGAAAGAGCCTCTATGCTTTAGGAACAGCGAGAGTAAACTGGTTTTTCGTGTTTGTTTTGGAAAGGCAGTGCTTAGAGAAAGTGGTAAGAGAGGAAGGCAGGCAACAAAGGTAGTCAGAAGCTAGATTCTTAAGGGCGTTAAATACTAAGCTGGAGCATTTACACAGGCCAGTAAGGATTTCAGCAGGAGAGTAACATTTTTGAAAATACATTTTTTAAAAAAGGTTGATTGGGCTACTCTGTGTGGGATGGACCATAGGGAGGGGATGTAGGCAGAAAGATTACTGAGAACAATGTGTCAGTGGGCAAGGAGAGCTATGCAGAAGGACTGGGCTTGGACAGTGCAGTGGGGGTGGAGAGGACAAAACAGATACTAGAAATATTCAGGAGGCAAATCAGCAGACCTGAATGTGGAAAGAGAAGAGTCTGGGAGAAAGCCCAGGTTTCTGGTATAAGAACAAGGTGGATGTAGAGGCTGTTCCTGAGATAGGAACACGGGGTGGGGGGTGGGGATGGGAACAGATCAGGAAACCAACAGGTCTGGCTGTGGGGAAAAGAGTGGAAAGAGTTACAGATTGGTGGCCGTCTGGATGTGGACTTCCAGACAGAGCTCTAAGCTGTATCAGGGAGGTCATTAGTTGGAGGGGTGGAGGCGGGGCGGTTGGCTTAAAATCATGGGAGTAGGTACCCCGTGTTCAGGAGTGGCTCATCTGCAGGATGGGCTGAGGGGTTCTCAGCAAGGGCCCTTGAAGACGGGCCAGACTTTTTTTGCATAAAAAAGATTCAGGATAGAGCCCTGTTGTTGTTTAGTCGCTCAGTCGTGTCCTACTCTTTCGCGACCCTAAGGACTGCCCAGGCAAGAATACTGGAGTGGGTCGCTATTTCCTTCTCCAGGAGTTCTTCCCGATCCAGGGGTTGAACTCGGCATCTCCTGTATTGGCGGGTGGATTCTTTACCGCTGAGCCACCAGGGACCCCCACAGAGCCCTGTGGAGCTCCTCCATTCAGGATACAGGTCAAAGTACTGGGGCTCCCCGCAAAAGAGCACAGAATAACCAGGAAGATATGAGGGTGAAGGTTGCCGGGATAGGGGCAACTAGCCAGAGGCCTTGGCTCTGGATGCCCTCCTGCAAACCCGGCCGGCATGAGGGTGGGGTGGCCTGGGCTGGGCTGGGCTGGGAACTGAGGATCCCGAGATTCCTCCTCCCGCTGGGAGGAGGAGCTACCCAACCGTGTCGGCCTCAGCCTCTTTCTTCGCGGCTCCAGCCCCCGACTCGCTCTGTCCCGGAAGTGGTCCTTTTCTGGCTCCGGGTGCCGGGAGACGAATGTCGGTGCTCCCGGAAGTGGCCCGGCGGCGGCGCGCCGGGCCCGGGCAGTGCTCGCTCCTGTTGGGGCGCTGCGGTAGCGCCCGGGTCCGGGCGTCGCCATGACCAGCGAGCTGGACATCTTCGTGGGGAACACGACCCTCATCGACGAGGACGTGTATCGCCTTTGGCTGGACGGTTATTCGGGTCTGTGGGGGGCAGACTGGGGGAGCCGGTCTGGCGGAGCGGTTGTTTTGGATGGGAGAGGGGGCAGAACCAGGACTAGGCATCCTATAGGGCAGTGGGCAGAGGCCTGGGAGTATGAAAAGCCTGGGGCTTGGGGCTGAAATCCCTGTAGAACCTCGAGGGTCGGCGGGGCGGGGCCTGATGCCAGCGCTCGCTTCCCAGTGAGCGACGCGGTGGCCCTGAGGGTGCGCTCGGGAATTCTGGAGCAGACCGGCGCCACGGCAGCGGTGCTGCAGAGCGACACCATGGACCACTACCGGACTTTCCACATGCTCGAGCGCCTGCTCCACGCGCCGCCCAAGCTGCTTCACCAGCTCATTTTCCAGATCCCGCCCTCTCGACAGGCGCTGCTCATCGAGAGGTGCTCACCTGGCGGGGGGTGGGGACGCCAACCAGTCTGTCGTTGTGCCCATTTTGCAGGCTGACGATGGGGCCCGGGGACGGACGGGACTTACCCAAGCCGGGAGAAAGTTGAGAGCGGAAGGGGCCAAACCCAGATCCTGCCAGCTCTCCTCTCTCCTCTTTTTATGGGAAGTCAGTAGTGTCGTTCCCAACTCCCCACAGGTATTATGCCTTTGACGAGGCCTTCGTGCGGGAGGTGCTGGGCAAAAAACTGTCCAAGGGCACCAAGAAAGACCTGGATGATATCAGCACCAAAACAGGCATCACCCTCAAGAGCTGCCGGAGACAGGTGGGCACTGCACCCGTCTGCAGCCCAGCCCTTTGCACCATCCCTTTGGTTCCTGCCTCACCTCCAGCCCACTCCAACACCTCTGTGGCAGTGCCTTCATTTCCACTCTCCTCTCTTTTAGCTCCTTCTAAGCCGTCCCCTACTCTTGAGCCAGAGTGACCTCTCAGAAGCCTACATTTTTACCTTAGCTTTCTTCTGCTTAAGAACTTTGAATGGCTCCCATTCTTTCCTATAGCAGCTACATTCCTTGGTCTTGACCTTCAGACCCGCCTATCATCCTGTCCCTGTCCCCCCTCTAGACTCCCCAGCCCCTGGCTTTCTTTTGCTCATCTGCCCCTACCTGTATTATTTTTACAGGGTATTATTTTAGGACATATCTACCTCTTGAAATCTAAGGCATGGTTGGGGATTGATTGAGGGGGGTGATCATATACCACCTTCTCCAAAAGCCTTGCCAGTGGTGCCAGGAAGAAGTAACCCTTCTACTGGGCCTTTAGCAGTTTCCTCTGTGACTCCTGTGAGCTCCCCAAGATGGCTTAGTATTTTCTCTTCTTTGAGTTCCTGGGACTTAGCCAGGAAGGTCAGTTTCAGCACAAACTAGTGAAGGACTAGAGAGCATGATGCTAAAATTGCAGTGAATTTGTTGATAAGAGTGAGTAAACATTTATCCAAGGCAAGATGGCAGAAGCTGGTGAACATTTGGGCGATTGATAAGAGGTATTAATAATTAATAGGGCTTCCCAAGTGACAAATTGGTAAAGAATCCACCTGCCAATGCAGGAGATAATAGTTTGTTGAAGAAATAGCAAATGCTTCATCAGTGTCTGGTGACTGGATAGGTGGGAAAGTGACTGTGGGTAAACCCAACAGTTTATTGGGTGAGCAACCTCTGACCAGTCCTTCCTCCTCCTCTGACTGCCCTGCAGTTTGACAACTTTAAGCGCGTCTTCAAGGTGGTGGAGGAAATGCGGGGCTCTCTGGTGGATAACATCCAGCAGCACTTCCTCCTATCCGACCGGCTGGCCAGGTGAGGGGCCAGGAGAGGGGCCAGGTGAGGAGCCAACTGTCTCCCCCTCCTGCACACTCCTTCCTTGTGCCCTGAGGCTGACCCTTATTTTCTGCCCCAACCCGCATGACCTGTTTACTGTATGGGGGCAATGGTTATCCCTCTCTTGGATTATACTTTGGTTCAGACTGGCCTGGGTTTGAATCCCAGCCTGGCCATTCACCAGCTAGACTGTTGTGAGGTGCCATGGGTAAAGCCCATGATGGCACAGTCCCTGGGGCTTAGTAAGTACTCAGGAAATGGTCGCTGTTACCCTGTGGTCTCCCACTGTGTCCCTTAGGAGATCCGGGCTTAAACCTTCTCTTTGCCCAGAGGAGGAGGCCCAGAGAGACGTGACTTGAAACACATCACACAGTGAGTTAGGGTAGAGAGAGGCCAGAATACGGCGGTCCCGCCAATGTTGTAGCTGGGAACTGCTTGCTAAGAAGCAGTTTCAAGCCCTGATGGATGCCCCCCCTCCCCACCCCGCAGGGACTATGCAGCCATCGTCTTCTTTGCCAACAATCGCTTTGAGACAGGGAAGAAAAAACTGCAGTATCTGAGCTTTGGGGACTTTGCCTTCTGTGCTGAGCTCATGATCCAGAACTGGACCCTTGGAGCCGTCGGTGAGGCCCCCACTGACCCAGGTGCAGGCCCCCGTTCCCAGCAGCCTTTCTTCTTCAGGGCCCCTGCCCAGCTGCTTCTGCTTATGGCCCAGCGCCCCCACACATAGCTTGTCTGCAAACAAGGGACCCACAGCGTCTCTCTGGCTTGGGGCCAGTCCCTCCAGCTCTCTCACACCCAGCATGCTCTTTTGTCTTGTGGGGTGCCATGAGATGGTGGGGGGAAGGCTCAGGTTATCACAGGAGGTATTTTTTATCTCCCACCTCCATTCCTTTCATGGGCCTCACTCAGACTCTCAGGTGGATGACATGGACATGGACTTAGACAAGGAGTTTCTCCAGGACTTGAAGGAGCTCAAGGTGCTTGTGGCTGACAAGGACCTTCTAGACCTGCACAAGAGGTGACCCGAGGGGTCTGTGGGGCGGGGCCTGAAGTGGGCGCCCAGGCAGCGTGGGCCTTGACCCTGTCCTCCTTCAGCCTGGTGTGCACTGCCCTCCGGGGGAAGCTTGGTGTCTTTTCGGAGATGGAAGCCAACTTCAAGGTCTGTGGCCCAGTCCAGCCTCTGTAACTGGGGCATCTTCAGCCTCCAGAGCCCTGTCCCCGCAGCAGCTGTGCTATTGGCCTCAGGCGGTGCTGCTGTTCCCTCTGCCTGCCCCTGGGGGTGGCCAGCTCTTAAACGCTGGGGAATTATTTGATTGAGGGAGGTGGATAGATGTGGTCTCAGCCCCCAGCCTCTCTCGGGCAGAAGGCAGAACTCCCAGGCTCCCTGCCCCACAGAACCTGTCCCGGGGGCTGGTGAATGTGGCCGCCAAGCTGACC